TCTAATAATAAAGAAAATTACGCGTTCTAGCGGATGGGGTAGCAACTGCCCAAGATGTGGCTGGCGAGCACGCAATTGTTGGCAATCGATTGTGGGCCGAGTGTAAATTAAGGTTGTTTTTTTTTTTTTAATAGCATAAATATAGATGAAGAATAAATTTAAAAAAAGAATACCTAGTGAAATGAGTGTAAAGAAGAAGAAAACCATGTATGTATGTTAAATGTATAGAATGCAGTAAGAGTTGTTCTTATTTTTTCGTTTGTATTTCTCACCTCTAGATCTTGGCTTTAGGTTAAATATTTCGTAATCGCTTAAATGGGCCACTAAAAGATATTGAATTGAAACATGTTAATATTTGAAACTAAATGCTAAAGAAAAAAACAAAACAACAAAAACAAAAACAAAAAATTCGGAATAAATGTGTTCAGAAAAAAATGTTATTATATGTTTAAAATTTAAATTTAAAATTAATTTAACATGAAAAAAATCCAACACTGAAATTTAATTAAATTAAATTAAAATAAATATAAATTCTAAACAATTCAAAATTGTATATACATATACACGTATGTATAGTATCTCTATCTTTATGCAAACCAATCCAAAACCAAACCAAACCAAACCAAACAAACAAGGCAACACACAACAAAAATACGAATACATTGTACTACTTATACTTAATCGTATAACAAAACCAAGTCACTAAGAACAGACACACTGCGAACCAAAAAAAAACAAAAAAAAAAAACAAAAAAAAAAACATACAAAAGAGAAAACAAAACCCAACAACAATTCCTGGCAATGCTGATCAACATGAGACATGAGAATAAAAATGCAATTGCATACGTAAAAATGAAATGGACAAACCTTTTTGTACTTTATTTAACTAAAGTTGCACATTGTGCAAACAATAGCAGCGAGTTTCTGTAAATAATTGTAATTTAGAACAGATTTTTCCTGTACTTATGTATGTATATAATTGGTTCATCATTTACATATATGTATGTATAATTGTTTTACTTTGCAGTAGTTCAGTGCGCAAAAAAAAACAAAAAAAAAAACAACATTTTAAATTCGTTCTACAACTTTGTGTAGTTTGATTTGAACGTAACGTAATTTTTTGTACACATTGTCTTAAAGAAGCGCCTACTCTATTAAGCTCAGCCACAAGCTGAGATATAAATACTAATTTGTAATTGTAAATAATATCCCCATGCTAAACACGATGTTAAGCTCCTATGGCATATCATAGTAAAGAAGCAGACGAATTAGCACTTCTTAGTACTCTATAACTGCGCCAGACAGCACCAAACCAAGTAGTAAACTACATTTATACTCTCGTAACACTTACATAAACAGTCACACAAACAGTCGGCTTCATACACCTGCCCGTTGGTACTCTTAACCGTAACCGTAACCGTATCCGTATCCGTACATGCCGAACTCATGAGACTTGGACAGACAAACTGAAACACACAACCAACACCTCTGCACTCTATCAGACCTTTTAGGTATAAACAAATTCTCCTCGTTTAAATACATATAGTTTGCCAAACTATACGACGATACTTCAGATTCTTTGGTCTTGTCATTTGATAAATCCGCACACAAATAAATTGTGTGAGCTTCAAATACTGTTTGCTTACTCTGCCGACCACCTTCTTCCTCGATCGAGCATAACTAACAATGCGTTCGTCCCCACTCCTCCTACAAAAGTGAAGGACTATAAATGACAAAACAGTGTATAATAAGTGTATTTTAATTTACAAGTTTAATCCAGAACTTGTCACGTTTCCTCGCGAATTTATATACTTAGTTATATTCATTTATATTTCTGTTCTATGATGTTGGCTGCGTAATCATTGGGTTGCAAAAAAAGGGGCTCTCGAAACCTCTGCTTTAGAAATGTTTTCAATTTCATTAGAAACTCCGATATATTTTCATGAACGAGCATGAAGTATTTGGATTTTATACTCTCTAATTATGAGTATTTCATTGAATTTGAGAAACCAATGATTACCAAAGTATTCGATTTATTTGTACATACACGTACATACAAAAACTCGTATGTCCCCTCTAGTCTGCTAAAAGCAATTGCCTAAACACCAAATTCTTTCGCATACTCATAAATATACAAAAACATAAACAAAATGTGACTAATGTTGCATACAATGTGACACCGATAAATAAGAATAAAGTTTATAACTTGTATGCAGTCCCGAAAGCAGACGCATGCAAAGAAGAAGCAAACATATCGTTTTAAAGTAAACCTAATAACAAAGAAATTGATAATAAATAAATGTCATTATAATTACGAAACAACTTAATGCTACAAATTTTTCTCAAAGCAAAATACTTTTTAAAAAAAACACACACACACACACGAAAAAAAACAAAAAAAAAACAACATTTAACCGCGAAAGCTAATACACTCTTATTTCCTCAATTTAAACCCAAAACAATCTTTTCAAGTTTTCCATTAAATTTAATAACAAAAACTAACATACTCGTACATACATACGTAAACATTTATTGTATGAATCATACAAATAGGTAATGAAAATTTCTATATATACCGCAACACGAATATAAAACGCAAAGCTATCAGCTCCTCTTTATGCTTTAACTGCGCAAAACTGAAAAACACGAAACCAAATTCAACCAAAAAACAAAAAAAAACATTAAAAAAACAAAAAAAAAAACACAAAAAAAAATTAAAACAAAATTGGAAATTTCTATTAAGGACAAAGACTGCAAATAGAGATTTAAAAAATAAACTAAAGGATATTAACAAATCATGTTTTTTTCATTATTTATTTATAGCCCAAAGAGTTTTCCAGCATTTGACTTAATACTTTTTTATTGGTTTTAATTAGCAAAATTAATCTTAGTTTAGTTAGCAGTGCAACAACACAAAAAATACGCATAATAATAATAATAACGAGAACAACAACAACAACAACAAAAATAAAGTAAACCTAGAAATGACAAAGTTAAACACGCAGAGTTTAAATGCAGCCAGTAATACTTTAAATTCTAATAAACAAACCAACCAACAATAACAACAAAAAAGTAGCACATAAAACAAACACATAAATATGCATACAAACAACTAGAACGACAGCAACAGCAATTGTTTAACGCCGAACTTTCCTCGAAAAACAGCAAAAACAAAAACCAAACAAAAAAACAAATGTTGCAAAACACAAACAGATCCGAAAACAATACAATATTTAATATAAATAGATAAGCATACTAATAATACTAACTAACAACAAAGCAAGCTGTTTACAAAATACATAATACAAAGGCATAAAATTAATTAAACAAAACCAAAAGAAAAACGAAATTTAGTATTACACACAAAACTAAAAACAAAGAGATATTATGACAATTAAAACTAAAACCAAGCATAAACACTCTTAACCACACAAAAACAAAACCCCCCCCCAAAAAAAAAAAAAAAAAAAAAACAGAAACAAAAACAAAAGAAATGAAATGAAACAAATGTTGTTAAGATTAAAAATGAAATGTTTTATAATCGTTATTCAATAAAATAAAAATAAATTTAAAAAAATATATTGCAATGCAAGTTCGATATTACATTATTCGCTGCCAACAGTCGCAGGCACAAAATTCTAAATATCAACAACTTTTTACAAAACAAGAGCAAACTTTTGCCGATCCTAGAGCCTTAGAGACTGTTAACTTATTGTAAAGATAAATACATACACGTACATTGTTAAGTATCTATTTAGTTATACTAAGTTGGTGCCTTTGACTAAGCTGTAATTAGAACTTTTATCGGATACTAATCTTTTCATTTTGATAATAATAATAATAATCTAGTATTACATTTATATTGTGGCGCTCATCTCAACCATATTGTAGGGCTTTCAGAGGCAGCATCCGGAATGTGTCAGACCTTTCTTACGCTTTCCATTTGCGTTCGATTTGAGTTATTTCGCTTTTATTAAACAGCCGCTATTTTCAGTGGCTTTACATAATACTTTAAGCTGCTTATTTATTTATTTTTTAAGAGCGCATTGCAATTAAAGTACATAATTCTAATATAGCAGCTGCCTGACTGATACTGATTCATTTCGAGTAGGCTTTGCAAAAGCTTAAGTATACCATACTATATATTCTAGCTTATTTTTCTATATACATACATAGTTTTTCAATGATATTGTCTTAAGTTGTTTAGATATTTATATACATAGGTAAGGAAGAAACTGTCAGAACGAAAGTAATAAATACCAACTGGTAACTAGTCGGTTAAGTGGGCTTGTGCGACCATTCTAACATCCAACACCAGCACCGAACTCCAACTCATTGTAGCAGAAACTTTAACTTATCTTCCATTTATGCACCTCTTCGCTTATACATTGCCTGGTGTACCTATTTCCGCACCCTAGTTCCTATTATTTCCTATAAATTCCGTACGCCACTCAATCGTAATCGGCTCGTTGCCAAGCTGTCAGAGAACTAAGGCCGAAACCATTCTCTTTGAAAACTAAAAAAAAACCGGAAAAACAGGAGAGCCTTTCCACATTTCAATTAAATCCAAAATCCATGCATTTATGTATATTTATTTGAAAACCTACACACTCTTCAGTTCACCTTTATTTATCGGCTTAGTTCTCTGAAGTACTATGAACATAGTAGATTGTCCCATGTCACAGATTTTCATAAACTACTTAAATGATAATCAGTCGATTCATCTACCATGCCAATATATTTCCATATGTAGTGTATACATATATATCCAATTACCAAACCACTATATAACCTTATTTAGAGTAGCTGTAGAACCTTCTTGCATTACTTTCGACATTTGATCGGCAGTCTAATACTACCAAGTCAAGCTGGTTGTATCCCAAACAAAAATTTTAATAATCCAGTGTTGAATTGCACGCAAATGCGTGCATTGAAACCAAACCCAAAAACAAAAAAAAAAAAACAAAAAAAAATTAGCGCAACGCAAGCAAATTAATGACATGAACGGCGATGCCTACAAACGGTGAGTCTACCAAACGCTCTATATGCAACTACTAGGCTACAAATATGCCTAATACCACTACTATTTTATGCATTTATCATATTTTCGTTTCATAATTTACTTTCAAAGATTTTTACACACACACACACCAAAACAAACCATTTTTTCTATGCAACAAATTAAAGAGAACATTATTTTGTTTTGATTTATGAAAATGATTTTGAAAAGTGCCAGCAATTTAATTGCGCGCTCTTATTAATAGCCATCACCAAGTAAATACATACATATATTACTCATGAAATTATTTTTATATACTACATAACTAATTACATACAACTACTTATACTTATAAATGCAAAAGATATGTTGTACACTTTTGTTTGTTTTTTTCTTAAATGTAATTGTAAGAACCGCTTCACCTGCTGCCTGCACCCGCCGACGTCTAAATGCTACAACAAACGCTACAGCAAATCCTTCAACAATCATAACAGCAACAACAACAACAACTACAATAACTATAATAATAATTAACAGCTACAGCAACAATTGCAACAAGCCACGCCGCAGCAACGACCAAAAATAATTGTATATGCTCTGGCGAAAGGCTCAGACTCAGGCTCAAGCTCAAACATAAGCTCAGGCTCAGTCTCAGGCTCCTGCTTCTGCTCCTATGTCCCGTTTCCCTGTGCTTCCCGATTCCGGTGCATGTGCGTTAATTTGCTATAAATATATAAAACAAAGCAAACCCTATAAAATAACAAGCAAAATTCAATATAAAAGAAAAGAATGCAATATTCAGAGTACCAGCAAATCAAAGCCAAGCTAAAATTTAACAGAAACAAAGTCACAATAAAGAATAAAATAGCAAATAAAAGCAACAAAGTAAATGAAGGAAAATGAAAACTAAAACTGGGCGCACGCTTAGCACATTTGCATATATATATTATATAAATAACGATACACGAACACGCACACATAAAATCAACAACAACAAAAAGCAACACGCAAAATCTACTCAACTCTTTTTGCTACTTATTTTTCACATACATACAAGTATACTCGTTCCTGTACCTGTGCCTACTTACCTTTATCTTTGTTTGTTTTTGTTTTTTGCTTTTGCTTTACGCTTTCAGTTTCGTTTGTTTTCCATTTTTGTGCTTACATAAACAATACTCGTATGAACATTACTAACTTGCCTTATTACCATTGATAATAGTATAATAACTATTTGCTACAACTACAATATATGAAATGCAGCAGCAGCAACATTAACAGCCTCTTTTTCTTACCTACTACTACTATACTACTATACTATATACTTCCTATTGACACAGAAAACTGCAAACGACAGTGCTGTTAACGGTAATTGCTGAACAGCCGCTTAACATAACAGCATAACAGTGCGTGCTTGTTTACATTACACAACACAACTACAACAACTTACCAACACTGCAACAACTTTCTATAAATTTCTTAGCACCTAAAATTTTATTCCTATACGCACACAAATGCTGCGCAAATAGCGCCTTATTTCAATCACTCAGACAGTCAAACTATCAAACAAGTCAAGCCTTACAGTCAATCCCTGGCAACAGCTTGCAATCAAACACAAAATACGCCATCAAACTTACACACGATCACAGTCATCTGGCATCATCTACACCTCCATTATCACATAATGAGAACAAGAACAACAACAGCAACAGCAACAAGGAACAAAAACCAAGAACTAACAGAAGAACAAACAATACACAACCTGCAAACTCACACTCGTTACACGCTACTAACTCTCTTTTCTTCATCGTATGTATGTCGCTCGCTCGCTCACATGCCGCGGAGACGTGCTGGACTGCTGTGACGGCTCTCTTCTGTTGTCACACGCTCTGGTCTGGTGTCGGGCCGTGTCGTACCGCCCCGTTCCATTTCGTACCGTTTCGGTGCAGGTTCGATGCGGTCCGATGCGATTTGCTTTCGTTTTTTCGATATAATTTTGTGTCAAGTTTAACAGCGACGACGCCAAACGCCGGCACATTTTGTTTGTTCTATTTGGCAATACGCTTCGGTTTTTTGTTAGCTAACTCTTTTGTGTTTAATGGCAAAATCAAGCGCGCATTTTAACAACAACAACAACAATTTGCTTTCGATGTGTACATACATATACTACTATATCGTATGAATAAACCTTTTGTTTTTTGCGTTCTTTATCACTTTTGATTCTTTGTGTTGTAACAATATTTTTCTATTCGTCTTTAAGTTGTATTTTAGTCAAGTCTTAAATGCAAATAGTTCAATATAAACTTATACTTATATCTTGTTTTTTTTTCACTACCTTATTTACACACTGCGTTCTTCTACGTTCTTCTTCATACCAACCTAAAAAAAAATATATATCAAATATAAAAATTTATAAAAAAACAAAAACCTTTAAATATCGAAAACAAATTTGCATATTTAAAAATACTTTTAAATATACAAACGAAAAAACAAAACAAATATAAACTTTGAAATGAATTTAAAATATATTGCCACAACAATAAAATGCAAATAGGCCCGTCGGCTTCTGGGGCAAAATTGTCGGCTCTTTGTGCGTGATCGCTGGTGTGCTGACAATCGCACTGCCGGTACCGGTTATCGTCAGTAATTTCAATTACTTCTATCACCGCGAAACGGATCAGGAGGAGATGCAGAGCCAAAATTTCAACCACGTTACAAGTTGTTCATATTTACCTGGTGCACTAGGTACTTAATAAACGAATCGTAAACCAACGAAACAGCCCTTAACCCAGATCCCAAAATACTAATTTTGAACTATTTCTTTACCATTCGCAATGCGTGAATAATGAATGGCAGGTCAACATTTGAAGAAATCCTCACTATCCGAATCGTCATCGGACATCATGGATTTGGATGATGGCATTGATGCAACCACGCCAGGTTTGACTGATCATACGGGCCGCCATATAGTGCCATTTCTGAGAACGCAGCAATCCTTTGAGAAGCAACAGTTGCAGCTGCAAGTGCAACAGCAGCAACAAGGACAAAATGGCTTGAGAAATACAAATATCTGTCAGTTAAGACATAATAACGCAATGGCCGTCAGTATTGAAACCGACGTCTGACTACTAGGTAAGTGGAGACCACTAACTACCAAGGAATCAAAACGGGTTCAATATTTTACGAGACTGTGGAAAGCATTTTTGACAAGTAATTCATTAACTTAATCGTATTTCGTTCACTTACCACAAAACGACAACTATTAACGAAATGGTAAACCTTTTAAACCCAAATTTCGGTTCGAAAACAAATAAAATTTTAATTAATTTAAAAACAGATCACATTCAAAAAAAATCTTTCCATTTCGTTAATTGCATTTTCCAGCTAAACTATAATCAACAATAAGTACAAGTATATAAAGGATGTCAGGTTAGTGCATGATTAGTTGAATTATAAATCCCTTCAAACCGTTTTTGTAGAACTACAAGCGACAAGCAACAAATTTAAAAGGAATAAGGCTTTGGCCTTATCTCTGATAAACTCTTGTTCTAAATATTGCAAATAGTGTCTGCACATATATTTGTTGTGGCTGTGTCGATTTCTTCCACTTTGTTATTTATTATTTAACAGAGTGCCGATGATACCGATTTGATTCCCTGCTGAATTAAGCAACTCTTCTTTATGCTTCTTTAATGATTCTCACTTTTTCTCATTTAGTAAAACATATGGAAAATGGACGAAATTTGCGCAGTGAAATGTTACGTTGGATGCCAGAAACGTCATCAAAAGCAGTCTAATTTAGAGTTTTATTAATAATAATAATAATAATAATAATAATTAATTAATAATAAACATAATAATAATAATTAGTAAGCGGAGTAGTTGTAAATTGAACAGCAAATGTAAAACTGTTACACAAACACACACATACTCACACAAACACAATACACTCACATACACGTACACGTACACACAGCGCCAGTTCACAAAGCTTTTAAACGCCAAATAGAGGAAGAGGCGAAAGCAGAGGACAAAAAAAAGCAAACAGCAATGGCCGACATTCAAAAGGACTATTTCAGGAATTTAGTTTTTATTATTTGGCATAAAAAATTATACGCTGCTTAAGTAAGACAAAGTCAAGCACAAAATGAAATATTTAAAATATAAATTGTTAAAGAATTTATCCTAAAAAGGCAACTACTTGCTGAACAAACCACAGAGAATAACAAATAAGTCAAAAAATACACACATAAAAACAGAGACACACAAAAACATGAAACACCACAAACTCTTCTTGATACCTATGTTCAAATTTAGCAACTAACAACTAACAATCGTTATAGTCAACAAAAAAACAAAACGAAACAAAAATATACCAAAAAAGAAAAACAATTATCTTAGTAGTCTAATCTAATTGGAGCTTCTTCCTTTCTTTAGAAGTAGCTAGCTTCAAAACAACAAGAACAACTACAAAATTAAAACAAAACAAGCAAACAGACAAACAAACAAACAAACAACCAACACATACAAACATACAATATCTATTAATCCTTATTTTTGAATGAATGAATCGTGTTATTCCAAACTTAAATTATGCTCTATTATTATAAAACTCTAGTCGAAATGTTAGTAAAAAGATGATAAACGAGAAACCAAATCGAAGTAGCAGGAACAGCGGCTGGTCGCTGTTATACCTCCGGGCCCATATATGTAAGCCAGATGGAGCGTATCTAGAAAACTTGATAAGTCCTAGAATTCGTTCCGGCTCAAATCTCTGTTAAGTTTACAAAGCTCTAACAGGGCCGGGGTGTTAAGAGACCCAACAACCATGACACAGCATGCTTGAAGCATTGCGACTGCATAGACGATGACTGTAAAGTGCTTGTGTGGACACGGTCTCTGTTGTGTCCGACGGGTTTTTAAAATAATCAACTACTCGCAACAGAATGGAAATGGAACCTGCGTTTCTATGCCTCAGCAGCTATCACTGTGCAGTGTGCAACAATCGAGTTGTGCCATATACATACATAATATTAATATTTATTTCGTTGCCACTCTCATACACCCACATATACTTGTAGACTCACGCACCGACAAAATACACAAAGACACACAGACACAGACACACACACACATACACATACACACATGAAAATGCTAAAACATCAAAACTGCCGTTAAGTTTAAATAATGATTAATTCAAATGAAATTATATTAATTTAATAAATTAAAAATATAAATATTAAAATAAATATACATAGATAAACTAAACTGCTATTTTGTAAATAGGTAAGACAGAGCTGAAGCTGAACAAATAGAGATACATACATAAATACAACTATGTAAAAAAAAAAGAAAAAATAAAAACACAATAAACCTACAACAAAGCTGCTAACGATACAAAAACAATAATTAAACTTAGCAAACAGCTACCACAGCAACTTAAAAAACAAACCAAAAAAAAAAACACAAAAACAAGAGCGGCCCGAGCAGCGGACCGCACATCTTCCACAAAACACCACAACAACAGGAATTTTTATATAAATTGAATAATGAAGCAACTAGACATCACTTAAAATCCACCAGGGAAGTTAAAAGATTTTGCCAAAAGGGGGGAAAAAATCGTAAAATCAAACATTTAAATGATAAATTGTTCAGACATTCGGTTTAAGGTGCATTCGCATTGGCCATTAAAAGTGATTTAGGCTTTAATTTTGAGCTCAAATTCAAAACTTCCAAATCCAGTGCACAAATATGCGTCAATCTGACACATTTTCATATAATCCAGCATTATATTGAATTACACATACATACGAGTATGTATGTCCACAAACTGTTTCGTCTTCAGTATACTTTACGAACTAACTTCATTAGTTTTTCTGAAGAAGTGATTTCCTTCCTAAATATCCTACTGATTTCCAGCAACTTTATAAACAGCCCATCATTATTTATATGGGGAAAAACTTAGAAAGACTTTTCACTACACGCACATTTTTGTCCCTTTTTCGCAAAATGTTAAAACTTCTCTCCTAAAAATCTGAACACGCCTGCAGCATATAGAATAGAACGAAAAAAAAAACCAAAGAATCTTTAAAGTTACGCCAATTTGTAGAAAATTTGTCTTATGATGTCACACATACACATAAACACGCATATAAATAAAGCTATACGCCTATGTGAATGGTATTTGTTGGTCTAGCAATACAAACACCTATAAAATACAATTGTATGAGTTTTGTTTCTGTTCTTATTTTAGCATTTCTATTGTTTTCAATTACAAATTTCCATTTATAACTTCAACTTTTGTAAAGCTGAAACAAAATCTATCGAAAATCATACACACTTCACAAGAAGTATCTGCCATCTGGTAAAAGGAAAGATTAAATATCTACTTTTTGCTTTAGAAAAAGTCTGCTCATACATAATCCGTTTTAAAATCATTTCTTACGGATAGCTGGCTTAATTTTTTCTCTGCTTGTTTTTGGTTTTGCATTTCCCTCAGAAATAATAAAAAAAATCATTTAATTTTTAATTCACTTTCTGCCGGTTGGGTATCAACTTGCATCTTTCAAACACAACCAATTGATCTTGGATATGGCGTAACTGCACTCTCTCCGCTAAACATTGAAATTCCTAATATTCTATTTAAATTCTTCAAGAGATTTCATATCGCATTATGCATTATATCGTAATCTGAAGCCCATTCCGCTGCTAAGTGAAATGTAATAAAAACAAAGCAAAAACCAAGGCAATTTTTTAAAAGCCAAAGACACAAGTTTGGACCACAAACAACACCTAAATTATGACGAATATTTAAAACAACTGAAAGTGAAATTAAATGAGAGACGCACGCATACACACACACACACATACATACACACACACATTTACACAGATCTAGACACACATATGCATACATATATAATGGTTTATAAATATATATGTGTACATAAAATATGTTTATGTTGAAAATGCGACTGAATAAGAATGTTTTTATTAATTTGCTGCTTGTTGTAATTACGAGTAAGAAGAATTTTTACAGCAAATAATCGATTTACTAAGCAAAATACTAAAATATGAAAGTAATAGGCAAGCGAACAAACTGTAAATATGTAAAAACAAAAAAAAACAAAAAGCAAAAAAGAATGAAATAAAAGATATGAATAAAATTAAAAAAAATAAATCAAATCAATTTACAGCTTTGAAAACCGTCCACACGCACACAGTAAATAAGCAAAACAACCAAATTAAAGATGAAAAACAAAACATACATAAATTAACTAACAAAAACTAAAGCAAACGCAACCAATTTTATGTATACTTTATTTGGCCTTTAGCGTACACAATATGCAGGTTTAGTTATTAACAAAAGTTGAAGTATATATCGTATGTATATGTTGTATAAATTATGATTTTAACTTTTCGTTCTCCATTAATTTGTTAATTATTTTTCGTTTAGTTACTACTTAAATAAATAATAGATATAAAATACATATTTATGTATAAAAAAACCCCCAGCCAATTAATTAGACAAACTATGAGCAATAATGTTTATATGGAAACTCATATAATATATAATATGCATATAAATTATTATTAATATAAAATAAATATATAGATAAAATTTTCAAACACAAATAAAACATATCGTCTTCGAGTCATGCAATTTTTTTTTTTTTTTTGTAAGCGTAATTTACATTTAATAATGAATAATGCTAAACAAGGCTTAATTTTAACTAGAGACAAGGACAACAAGAGCAAGCCAGTGGGAGATGGAGAGGAAGTGGGAGTACAAGTAGAAGTGGATGTCTGGGTGGAAGTGGGAGTGGAAGTGAGAGAGAAAGAGATAGCGAAAGCGAAAGCGAAAGAGTACGCGACACTTGTCGAGCTATTCAAGTGATATGTAAGAGTCATGAGGTAAACAAATAAATAAAATAAACTTGCCAAAATAATTAAGTTCAAATGAAATCCACAAACAGCTCCGAGGCTACGTTTAAATCTATGCAAATGCAACAATGTTAGGCCTTTAACAAATACAAGAAATACATATAATAGGCATATACTCGTAATAATAATTATTATTACACATGTATGTATGTACGATGATTACAAATCTAATAAGCAGCAACTTTCACCTGAGCTTCGCTTTCATTCAAATAACTTATGACAGCTAGGATGAATCGCAAACCAAAAATCGCTATTTTATTATCCATTTTCGTTGCCCACTTTAGGTTTTCTTTGAAAATGCATTAATAAAAAGACTGGAATAAAAACAAAAAAGAAAATATACAAAAAAGATTATAAATATATACACAATAAATAAACGGAAGAATCAAATATATAGGAAAAAAGTCAACAAGTACATGTGGTAGAATGCATTAACCACTACAATAAAAATACAATTCTATATAAATAATTTAATTTTATCTGAAAATCAGCAACAATAATAAATAAAGAAATAAATGATTACGATTGTTATGATTTAATTAGAACACGTTTCGTTTCGTTTTATTTCTTCAGTTGCTGTTTTTCATGTGCAGAACATTTTCTTTTGCATTCAATAAAAAAAAATTAACAAAAAAAAACATAAACATAAATCTTAACAAAATTTAACGCAAACTAATTAAATACTTAGCCCAAAACATACAATAAAAACTAAAAGTCAGTAAATGGAAAAACCAAAATTATAATAATTATGACTAGATGTATTATTACGTAAACACACACACACACACACACATACACATACACAAAGGAACAGACACACAGACATCTACTCAAAGCGAGGTATTAGGTACTGTGCAATATTTTTTTTGTTTAAATTTAGAAAAGAAAAAACATAAATATTTTGAATATGAAGCCACAAAATATATACAAGCAGCGAAACTAGCGCGAGAAACTCCATGTAAATTATGCGTACAACAATAAAAGGCATATGGACAAACAAACTACTTATGAATTAAAGCTAAATAAATAAATAAATAAATATATATATATATATATATTAATATATATATTATATATATATAAATAGCAAAATGAGATATATAACAAAGAATATGCCGCAGCAATTAATACAAGAAAGCAAAAATAAAAATGTTGTTAAGATTCTAAAATGAAATGTTTTATAAATAGTTAAACCGAGAAAACACAAATGATTATTATATATTAAATTAATATAAAATAATAATAATAAAACTAAGCATAACAAAAGCTAAGACACAAACAGACAAAAACGAACACACAAATAAACAAACAAATAAACCAAGAACAATAAGCAACCCGTGAACAACGCGTTCGCACTCAAAATTTAACTTTTGACTTTAAAAACAAAATTGTAAATTGTATTGCAATTGGCCAAAGAAAAGGCAGCTTCAAACTGCTATAGGTATATATGTATATGTATATTATGTGTATGTACAAATGCAAAAACAAAAGGCAATAGTTGAAACACACACACACACACACACACATACATACACACACATGCAACACAACAGAAACACAGAGGCAGACACACGTTACTTTATGAAAATAATACAAATTAAATGGAAAGTATATGGAAAATAAATTATGCTAAAAAATAACATAAAGATGCGTTTGTAATTTTTATTCTACTTCTTTTACAGCAACAATAGCCTTAGCCTTAACCATCTACTGAATTACTGGCTTATGCCTCAAAAACTTCACCGAATCAGTATAATTGGCGAGTCATGCAATAAACCCAACCTGGAGAAAATATGAAGTCTATAGCATCTAGCGGCAATTCAATTTCAAGGGGTAAATACGGAAAAATTAAGTGTTTGATGAGACGGAACTCTAGGAAGTCCGAAAGTAGATAACAGGCAGATGGACGATCTGGATGGCTCAGATAGTAACCACTCCACGTATGGCATTCGTTAGATTAAGTAAATAATGAAATTTTGAGGAGCTGATGATCTCTTTAATTGATAAATTTTTGTTCGTCGTACACCACGTCTAGCAAGGAGGGGCAGCTTAAACGTTTGCGTTTTCCATGAGTTTCTGAATTTTCAAAAAACAGAGATTTAAAACCAAAGGAGTTCCCTTTGGGGAGTTCACTCGAATCAGGTTTCGGCCAATGAAAGGAAGCTTTGTACTTTAAAGGATCTCAAAGTGTATATTGTCCTGGAATGGGTTAAAATTGAAAAAAAAAACGTGCCTCAAAACGTAAAAAATTCAACAGAATCCAGTATATTTATGGTTATAAATAATAATATACGCTCCATTAATAAAATGCATAACCAGTTTTTTATTTAAGAAATTTAAAAATAATTAAAAACGATTTTATTTGTCCCAGCTACTTATTTCGCTCTAGCAAGTGAAGCTGCGGTAGCGGTAAAAATTAACGGCACTTTTAGGAGAATTCTTGGTATAATCAAGAGAGAAGATGGTTTTAAATATTGATTTGATAAACACGTCAAAAAACAATGCAAAATAGTTTTTGCAACAAAAAATATTTTTGCCCCAGAGACTTATTTCGCAAACTCTAATGTGCGCTCATATCGACATGCCTCATGAAAGAAAGCAGTTCCACTGCCAAGCGCCTTTAACCCTTACATCTGCTAAAGGTACTGCTTGTTATCGGGACAATCGTACTCATCAAGCAGGAAGGTGTAAAAAAACTAAGAATAGTCAAAGATTAAAGATCGCATTCATTTTATTGCATTTCATTTCATCATCACCCTTTCATGTCCTCTTACTCTAAAACTCCATCTGGTATTATATAATTTTTTCTTACGCACTAATATGAATTCATTTGTTCACTTTTGACATCATAGACTTAATAGATAATCTTAAGAGCTATATTATCTGTCAACAGCAATACGTTTTCGCATGAGTTGCAAATTTTGCTTTTCCGGCTATTTACAGTGCAGTGGTACGAGTATCGAAAACAAAAACGCCATTACATTTCTCTATATGCTATAAGTATATACAAACAACTCTTCTCCGGCAGGAAGCTCGACGCCTGCATAGGATTGCCAGATTGTTATATCACATAGTGTTGTTTTTTTTTTCAATTGCATTTGCATTTACATTCCTTTTACTCTCAAGGTCGTGCCTGCGCCGACTGTGTTTTGGGCGCCTGCGGTCGATATGTGGGAAGCTCTATAAAGACCGGCCGGTACTCGGGCGTCTCGGGTCGCATCGAACGCGACTCTGTGAGCAGCACGTTCGTATAATAGTTGACCTCGTTCTGTTGCTGCTCCTCGCTCGCCGTTTGTCGTCGATGGGAGGAGCGCGTGCGCGGCGTTGCCGCATCGGCGCGCAACAAACGGAACAAGTTCCGCTGCTGCACTGCAGTGCGACGCGCTGCTGTCTGCTGCTGCTGCTGTTGCTGCTGCTTTGATGGCAACTGCTTGGTCTGGCTGGTGTTGAGAAACGCTGCTTGCTCATACCGCGGAATATAGCGCGGCTTGCGCGACTCACCCCGACTGAGCGGCTCCCGATCGTGGGGGGTTACGTTGAAGCCGAAAAATCGAGGTGCCTGCACCGAAATCAGAGGCAGCAGAGTTTCGCGCGCATAGCGCTCGGCGCGCTGCAGCAGTTCACTCAAACGGAAGGGCAGCAATTGCACCGTTTGCGGCTCATCCTGGCCATTGGAAAGCTGGGCCATTATTTTGGGGCGACTATCGGATGGTGTTGGTGGTGTAGGTGGAGGTGGTGCCAGCGTAGTAGGGTCTGTTGGAGTGCTGGTTGCAAGCTCTGCGGGTTGCAACTCCTTGCCATGCTTAATACGCGGCGTAGTGGCCTTGAGTACTGGCTCTACAATCTCCTCCGTTGTAGCATAATCCTGCAGGTTGCGACCGCGATTGACATTTGGACGTCTGTCCTTGAGTATGGGCTCAAATATCTCGTTGCGCTCCACATTGGGCGCATCTGCGGAAAGACTGCGACTCGACTCGGCTGGCTCCTTGTCCAACGAGTTTCCAACTAGGATGGGCTGCCAAGGCAACTCATCTGTCTGATCGAGTGGATAGGTGTGGTTCTGAGCGAGTTTGAAGCTCGTGCCTAAATTGAAAATATCCTTGCGCTGCTTCACACTCTCCACACCATCAACAGCGGCCGAAACAGCCGACAGACCCGACTCCTGAACACTTGAGTCAGGCACATCAGTGCTGGCTACTCCTGTGACCGCAGACACTGTTGATGATGCTGGCGGTGTTGTATAGGCCCCATACTCATCCTGGTTATCCAGCTCGCAGTTGCCGGGCTGCAGCTTCATCCGCACCGGACTGCCGCTACTCAACTTAGTCGAGGGCTTGCACAGCGAGTGACTGCGACCGAAGCTATCCGTCAGCACCACCTTATCAATGTCCCAGTGGGGCAAACCCTTGGACAGCCAACCGCTGTACGACTTGTAGTGCAGGCTAAGGGTGGTGGGGAAGCCGAGCGCCGGATGCGGAACAATGATTTTTGAGACAATGTCACCAGCAAAGAATTCGGCATCGTCCTTTCTGCAAGCAACAAAATATTCATGAGCGTCGCACTCGGATGGATAACCTCACTTCACCTACTCTGATATTTCAAAAGTCTCATTCAAACCGCCATCGCCCTCCAGTATAGCCTCTAACCGCCCAATGGTCCGCAATGGCAAATCGTTGAACGAGTTGAAGATCTGCAACTGGAACTGGTGAGCACAGAAGGGCTCTTCCTCACGAGTCAGCAGATACAGCTGACCACGGCCAGTGGAGCGATCGGCATAGTAGCCCATGTTGCCGCAACGTGGCACGCCCTCGGCCAAGTCCTCATCATCCTGAGCACAGGGAAAGCACTTGCCCTTCAGGAAGTCATCGTAGTTGGCGCAGGGGAAGGCAGGGAACATGCACCGCGGCGCCACTGAGTCAATAAAGAACTTGTAGGCACGTCGATGATTGCAAAGCGAACGACCCTCCTCATCCTCCGCAGCTTGGGCCGCTGTATACAAGAGAGAGAGAGAGAGAGCGACAAATACATAAGTTCTCATAACTTCAAGAATACGTTTAACTTACACCAAATGAAGTCGGTGACAGCGCCAACAAAGAGATTGGAGCATCCTGTCTGCACGCGTCCTCCATTTGGATAGTAATCCACGTGGCCCATAGGCTGCCAGCTGCCCAAGCCGCCCAGTATCAAGTTCTCTCCATTTGAGTGGATGACGTCAACGAACTCCGCGTCACTGCTGTCGAGCCGCACTTTCGGATGCTGCGCCTCGAATAGAGGTCCCGCCGGATCAAGACCTGTTATTCGCGATAATCCTGGCAGCTCAGCACCCGCGAAGCCCGAAACATGTGCACCCAGACTAAAGCCAATAACATGCGTATGGGACAGGTTGAGACCCTTATGCTGCTGCAGATTGCGCAACAACATCGCCAGCTGCTTGCCCACCAAGCGTGTGTTCGCAGCTGCTCGGACGTAGTTCGGAAAGTTGGCACCGTTCTCCCAGTCCACACAAATCACAATGCAGTCCTCCTGAAAGATAGAAAAACAAAATGAGGAAAAAGTAGGAACCCCCTTCACTAGTATACAGATATCTCTACACATATTGATTCATTGATTTATTGAAGAAAGCCCAATACTCACCACAGCCATGAGCGCCGTCTTCATCTCGTAAATCCAGACGTGTGGACACGCGGAGCCGAATCCATGCACAATGACTCGCACGGATAGCTCATCGAAACCTTCTAGATCATCGATGGAGGGCAGTTTCTTTGCTGAGTTGAGGCTGCTGTTGGGCCTATCTGTCGCACTGCCACTGCCTGTGGCATTCACGGGTAGCGCTGTGGGTGCGCTGGTGGCGTCCACTGGTGACTCGCGTTTCGTCTTATTGCGAAATGCGGCGGTCATGTTGAGGAACGATAGTTCCATGAGCGGTCGATCCGAGCGCTGGCGCGTTGAGTAGAAATAGAACTTGGTGTTGATCTCCTCGGGCGGGGAGGGCAGCATCTCCAAATAGGCGAATGGTCCAGAGTCCTCGAAGCAACCCAGCTCGCCATAGCACACGCGCTTCACAGCTCGCTTGGCGCGTCCATGGAGCAGCTGGCGTTTCCGCTGCCGGTGCTCATGCGTCAGCAGTGAGGCGCGAACCGCACGCGCAAGTTCCGTGTAGTTGGCATAGCGTTGAGCGGAGGAGTAGGCAGAGGAAGAAGCAGAAGCAGAGGCGGAGACCGTCGCTGTGGGCGTGGCAGCATAACTAACTTCCTGTGCGTCTGCAAGCACACAACGAAAACAATAATTTGGAATGTGGTGCCATTAGATTTCAGATATTGTCGAATGACTAATGATCGCTTATATAATTATAGACCATTTCGCATGACACTCACGTGCCGCTCACGGCGCACACACAACGCTTGAAATGGCAACGCCGCCTGGGCGGGCGGCCATTCCAAATATGAGCAGAGCTCATCAATAATTTGCATTTGATACTGCTTGGTTTATTTTTCACTTCCCTCACGCCTCACGCATACAAAACTCAGGCGCCGAGTGCCTCCAGTTGGGGGCGTGGCTTACTTCAGCCGGCAAGCAGTGCTTACACACACACGTGTATATCCTCGGCAAATGCACTGCTTGCACAGCTCAATAAAACTGAAGGAATTTCTTCAATGGTGCGGTGCTTTAATTTTTTATTTCGCTCACCATACCACACTACTTGTATAATTAAATGCATGGCGCGTTGATGACATAACCCGATTTACACACACACGCATATAAAGTACACTTATGTATGTATATACGAGTACACATCACATATTTATGTATGTTCAGACTTGTACAGACTGGGTATGAATTGAATACAGCTCGCATGATAAATGGCCGGGGCGTGCTTGCGTTTTAAAAACCCGCCTGCTTTATGCATTTCCCGAAAACTCTTAAATTTCTACAATTACGTTCGCATTTCTGGCATTCAGTCAAGGCGTTAGAGAATAGCGCACTAGTTTTTTAGTAGACAGTAAATTATGTTGACAAATTACTTTTTAAGCAAGGGACAATTTTACAATCTGGCATGCCCATCTGTGAATACCCTGTACACCAAATTCTGTTTTTACACGATTTTGATTTAACACGGTTTGATAATTGATAATTGCATATATATTTCGTTAGAGATAAGGAACCAATCACATATTTTTGCATATGACCAATGTCTTATTTACACGGTTTTTTCTGGAACCAATCTACCGTGTAAAAACAGAATTAGGTGTACTTTTAAGTAGTATAGATATAAGCTGATGCTGCTGTACTCATACATACATAAGTTATAAGTAGGTGATTAATCTCACCCATAGCAGAAGCCAAAATGAAATCTAAAACGATGCATACTACTGGGCTACAATAGTTTAAATATAGATTGAAACTACATAGGGACTAAGTGTTTTAGCCTTGTATAGAGTATTGATGAATTTGTATGCAGTATTGATGGAATTCAATTTTGTGTTGCTGATCAAAAATGTAGGCTTAGGAGGACCTGGATACCAAGTTTGGTTATTCTAGCTCTTATACTTTCTGAGATGCTTGCGTTCATACAGACAGACGGACAAACAGGCGGACACGGCTATATCGACTCGTGTAGTCATCCTGATCAAGAATATATATACTTTGTGGCTCCTTCTGTGTGTTACGTGTACCCTTTTACCCTTTGGGTACAGGCTATAAAAATGGAAAACCCACACATGTATCGAGTCCGATAGAAGTGTGTTTATCTCGCTACATTTCTGGTGAATATTTTCATAAATCTGGCATTCCCTCTTCCGTATTGCGAATTGCCAATTCTGTCAAGTGCTGCCTCAAATGCACTTCATACGTTTTATGCAGTGTTATGCAATCGACACACGTTCCGGCCTTTTAGTGTTAACATTTCGTTGGGCGTCATCCCCTCCTCTCTCTCTCCCCCCCCCCCCCCCTCGTTAGTTATGGCGCCGTGATGCTCCAAAGAGTTGACAGCAACTTTACGCTTAGATGACAAGCAATTCACACTTACGAGTATTGCACACCATTTATGAACATTACCCAATCGAGGGGGCTGGAACTACTTACATACACACATATATATATATATATATATATATATATATATATATATATGTATGTATGTATGATGAGAGTTGCCTGTTGGGCCTGTGCTGGGCCGTGAGTCGGATAGGAATCTGGTCCGCATTGAGCTCAGAGCTCAGTCACTGGCTACATGAGGCAGGCGCATAAAATTGTTAGACAGCGTACAGCTTTTTTAACTTCGTTTTATTTCACACTACGAGCATGCTCGTATCTATTGTTGTTATGCATGTCTTCTTTAATTTTATTATTTTTATTTATTTTGTTTTGTTTTGTTATGTTTTGTTTACAGTTGCGTTTTGTGCGGCTTTGTTCGGTTTGATCGATTGTGCAATATTGTGTGCGTTGCCGCACGCGTCATTTATTTTCACTTCTTCGTTGGTGAATTCAATGCAACTGTCAAGTGAAAACGCTGAAGAAAGACGCCTATAGACGAGTACACCTAATTCTGTTTTTACACGGTCTGTTTTTACACGGTTTTGATTTGACACGGTTCGAAAATTAAATATTTTATATATGGTATATGGTCGACATTATTCCATTTAGCACGATTTAAAATAACACATGATTAATGTCTTTTTTTACACGGCTTTTTCTGGAACCAATCTACCGTGTAAAAACAGAATTAGATGTACAAGAGTCCCGCCCACATAGATAAATACATAAATATGTTTGAATTGTTGAGGTAATTTGTCTTGGATTGGCTTTATTTTTAACGCTTTACTTAACTTGCGTCCAGTGTTGCCAACTTGGCTTTTTCCCCGTCAAATTTTGTTGTTTTTGAAATGAAATTGCGGGAACAGGGAATTCTGTCTCTTTTAAAATGCATTTAGCTTTTTGTAATTTTGCCAACATTTTTGTAAGAAAACGTGGAAACTATGCAGATTTATCCATTTTTTTAATCAATATTTGCCCATGTGTGATGAGCTCTTTTTATACAAAAAGTGACTTATGTACTAATTATGTACATAACGCCGCTCGCTTGTGACAATAATGGCGCTTGCTTGTGACAGTAGACCCTAGTTTAAACCATCTTTATCTCAAAAATGCGTTTAATTTGTAAAGCTGCGGATACATTCATGCCGAAAGAATACAAAGAAAAATTCCGATATGTTTGGCTAGCTTACTTGGAAAATACATTTTTCTAAGCGTATCTTGTAAACAGATATGTAGCTTTTTTTACGCTTTTTTGTCAAAATTTTTAGCTATATTTTACTCTCCTTCCCATCAAAACAGCCTTTTTCCCTCTTAAAAGTTGGCAACACTGCTTGCGTCTGCTCTCCCAGGGCTCTCAATTACAAGGGACCCGTTCATCCTCCAGTTCCGATCATTCATTCATCGGAATAACTTAAATGCTATCGGACTTAGATGCTAGTTGTCGTTTAGTTATCGAGTTCATACATTCATACAATCCAACAGTATCTAAATTAATTTCGTTGATGGCAAGAAATTGTTCTCAAGTCAAGAGTGATTCCAAAGATAGTCGTCGCTCATTTACACTTGCATTTGCAGTACAACAAGTAATATACAAGTATATATCAATTAGTTAGTTTAATGGCAAGTGCGCTGCCTTTTTAATTAGTTAATTGCTTGGCATACTTACCGCAATCTTTGTAGAGCAGCAGAGGCAGCAACAACAACGGAGACAGCAGCGCTGTCGACCTCAAGCGGCGCATGTCTATTAAGTTGTTTCTGTTGATCTGATTATTATTGTTGTTGTTTAAAGATTTACTTTGTTTCTGTTTATTTTGCTCGTTTTATTTTTAAGCTATAGAATAAAGGTAATATTTAGGGAATTACATAAAAATTGTGGCCATAAATTTTCATTGGTAGAAAATTTCACACGATTTTATTATTATTTGCCGCAGTCTGATAAACATTTCTGTTGTTGTTATTGTTGCTGTTGTTGTTGTTGGTTATTGTTTGCACTAAACATTCGCACAGTATTTTGTTATTGTTTGTAATTTGTGTATATGGATCGATTTAAAGTTCGGGGCGCGCTAACTGCCTTTATGGTGTTACGCACGCGTCTCTTTCGCTTTGGTAATATGCACGACTACGTTTATGAATGTGTGTGTGTATATATATACATATATGTATGTATATAAACAAATTCACTTTCACTTATTTGACCAACTGTTGATGAAGATGGCGATAATGATGACGATGCCGATGACGATGCCGATGACAATGACGAAGGCACAGCGTCTCGCTCTCTGTCGGCACTTGGGCTGGGTTCATGGGCCAGTGTTTAGTTCCTGGCAGGCAGATAGGCGGCAATCAGATCGGCGCTGACTAGCTCACTCACTCGCCGACTGACTAAGTAACACTAACCGATCTGTATCGTTTATATAGAGTGCACATGCTATGTTTTTTTTATCGCATCTGCCGGCAAACTGTGCGTTGGCGTTGATGTTGTTGTTGATGTTGTTGCTGATGTTGTTGCTGACGTTATGGTCGGATTTAATTATGAGAAAATAGGCTTTGTCGTTGTTGTTGGCTTTCACCTGAGCATCGGCTCCAATTTGTGACAGCCGCTTTACGTTTTGATTGATGACTGGCTTTGCGCTTGATTGATTGATTGGCTCACTGTCTGCCTGCCTGAGAGAGACATAAAGAAAGAGAGAAAATAAATAAAATTGCATGCCAAGATTGCTGAATGTTGGGGGCGTGGTCAGACATAGCAAAATATTTTTGCAATTTCTGTGAGCAAAGTAAAGCCCGAAAAGAACGTTCGTTACTCAAAAGCCGCACACAATTTATGTTAATTATCAAAAAGAATATGTATCAGGCATTTTAGCTCGAAAATAAATTCTTCGTAACTTTGTCAAAAACCGACTTAAGTTCAATCTTCTGCAATGATTCACAGGTCGCGTTGATAACAGGTATTTGTCCATTATTCCGGAAGTTCTTGACAATAGACGTACAAAGTATGTATCTATAAAATTAATCACTTCTTGGGTTGAAAATAAAAAGCTATGTTCAATTCTTGAGCGCTATTTGAAAAAAGCTGTCAAAGTCAATTTAAGTGCGTTTGTTTGTCCGGCTGTCTGCCTAGATCTCTGTTACCACTAGAACTAGCGACACCAAACTTTGTGTGAGTTTTCTTCTGGCATTTGTGCAGATTACGTTCCTACTTCTTGGTTTGAAAATAAGAAACTATGCTCCATTTTCGAGCGCTATTTGAAAAAAGCTGTTAAAGTCAATTTAAGTGCGTTTGTTTGTCCGTCTGTCTGCCTAGATCTCTGTTGCTATTAGAACTAGCGAGATCAAACTTTGTCTGAGTATTCTTCTGGCATTTGTGCAGATTAAGTTCAGCCAAAGTTCTTTATATTCCTACTATATATTTAGCTGTCGAGGTTGCAAAAAAAGCCCACTGTGCAGCCTCTGTAGGTGTATGCAGGCCGGAAATGCAATTGCATTGATGCCGCCTCTGTTGTTGTTGCTATTCCTGTTGCTGCTGAAAAAGCCATCTAACTATGCGTCTACGTCAATGTGTCTGCGAATAAAGTTGTATAATAGGCCAGACATAGGCAGGCCGTCATTTGATTGCCCATAAAAGTTGGCATTGACAGGATGTGCGCCAAACATACAAGTACTGAGCGGGTAGCGATATTCGTACGGTGGGAGCATAAGAGAGAGGGGATTCTTCAGTGATTCGAGGAAAAGTGCGGCGTTGAACTCTTGCCAAATCATTTGAGCTCTAGAGCTATTCTATTCCATTTCAAAGCCATTTTATGGGCCATGAAGCATTAAAAACTCCAACAAGCTTACACGCACATAACAATAAAATGTGCGTCTATTTTACGTTGACATGTAGGTCAGCAGCAGACTGAGCAGGCTGAGACCGCAGCCGCTTACAATAAGCCACATTGTCGTCGCTGTCACCAGCACCGTGTTTGAGGTTTGTTGACATTTGGCCAATTTCCAAAGAGATTGATGTGTAAATTGTGCGCTGTTGCACTCAAGATTCATGTATATATGTACACACAAATGCGATCGTGTACAAAAGTAACCGAAAGCCCACGCCGCGAAACGAAAGTGAAAACAAATCTCATGACCACAGGCATGCTAAGCAGCTGGCAGTTGATCATCAAAAGAAAATATTGTTATTGATTGATAATTTGATGTTGACTTTCGACAGCGAACACCATGCCATGATGCTAACTAAAAACGAAGATGAAGATGCCGGCAACGACACCGACACTGACTACCTCAACTGTACGCGTATGTGTGTGTGTGTGTGACTCGAAAGTTGGCTTTTCAATTAGCACCAAGTTAGCAGCACACAAATTATTATTTAATTAGCCACAGCAAATGGTGTTATTGCTGTGTGTGTGTTTTGTGTGCAGTCTGCAACATTGGCAAATGCTTAAGGCATTGCGAATTGTAGGTGCGAGGCAAATACTCGTATGCCTTCTGCTGGTTTGCACATAAGCACAGAGCACATACGATGCGATACGAGATGAACAAGCAAGCTCGAAAACAGTTGCAAAATGGACGAGGAGGAGAAGTCTTTGAAAAGCTAACCACATTTGTCTAGGTACGGAGCGTACCTTTATTTCCCAGAAAAAGTCTGTAAGTCTTAAACAGGGTAGAGCAATTTTTGAAGAGCAGGGGATTGAAATCTCAAAACGAAGAAATTGTAAACCTTTCTTGGTCTCCCTTCTGATGTTGTTGACTGTTGTAAAGTGAAAAAAGGAAGATTACATCCTTTTAAAATAAGTCATTCAGTACAGTAGCCAATGCAAATCAATAGGTACTGCCTTCTCCTAAATATAAGGATTAAATCATTATTTTTATCTATCACTATCTCTTACATATAAATATTTTAAACTGCTGTTTATTTTATTTATTCTTCTTCCCTCCCAGGAAAAATTCCGCATAACTCAGAAAAGGAAGAGCAATTCAAGAGAAGTGGATTGAAATCTGAAAACGAAGAAATTGCAAACCTTTCTTGGCTTGTTGTTGACTATTGTAAAGCGAAAAAATGAAGATGAAATATAACATTCAGAACATTAGCAAATGCAGATCAGAATAGGCACCTTCTTTTCCTATATATAAGGACTAAAGCCTTATTTATTTATTTTAATCTTTCACCATCTCTTACATATAAACATTTCAAATTGTTGTATATTTTAATTATTCATCCTCCCGCCCGGAACTTTCGGGTGTATCAAAATAGTACAATTTTAAGAAAGAACGTTTTGCCTTTATCCCAAAAAAATGTCCGCATACCTCAGAAAAGGAAGAGCAATTCAAGAGAAGTGGATTGAAATCTGAAAAGAAAAAATTGTAAGCCTCTCTTTGTTTCCCTTCTGATGTTGTTGACTGTTGTAAGGTGAAAAAAGGAGGATGAAATATAACATTCAGAACATTAGCCAATGCAGATCAGAATAGGCACCTTCTTCGCCTATATATGTATAAGGACTAAAGCATTATTTATTTATTTTAGTCTTTCACCATCTCTTACATATAAACATAATTTATTTATTCTCTCTCCCTCCCGGAATAATCAAATTTAATGAATGAAAGTTTTTGCCTTCATTCGTCCCACTACGATAATTCTATCAGCATCAGACGAAAAGTGTAAGTTAAGCACAATCCGCGCTCATTAAGAAGAACAGCTGCGATTTGGAAGCGGACAGTGAAAAAATAAGACACCTTAATAACCGTTAAGCCCATTAGGGCCTGCTGCTCTTTCCGTTGGCTGGTGTTCACCCACTGACACTTGGCAATGAGAGTGACGCGTCACTGATGGGATTGTCGCGCATGCCGCTGGGAAAGCCAAGCCAAGCAAAAATGGAAAGTACCAAAAAAAAAAAAAAAAAAAAAAAATACTCGTATATCGTATATACTTATAATAAAAAGCGTACCAAAGAGTGACTTCTAAAGCGGCTTTCGCATGGCATTGGCTTCTACGGGTATAAGTATATTGCGGTGTCACCTTGCCTGACTTTTCTTTGCACTTTCAAATAGATTAACCCAATTTGAACGGTGCAAACGCTTTCAGCTTCTCATTTTCACATTTGCGGCTAATTCTGCTCATTAAATGGCAACTATGCGGTGCCTCTAATATGCAAGTCGGTCTCAGTCGGGCCAAGTGGTGAAAATTAAATGAGAACCGCCATGGGAAAGCGTCAGCAGACAAGAGAAATGAAATAAAACCGTGCCAAAGAAAAGCGCAACGTGCTGCTATTGCTTCAGTTGCTGTTGTTGCTGTTGTTGTAATAAATATTGCCTGCTGCTGGCATATTGGCAAAACCAGTACAACAACTAGACTGTTTGATGTGTGCATAAAGGAACCCACACATATAGTGTAAATACACATACTTGTAGTCTCATTGGTCATTGCACAATGGCCACGAAATAAGAGTCCCCTTTGTTTTAGATCGTTGCAGATTTGAGCAATCAATTGATTTGCCAAACAATCGAAGCTTTGTGTGTATACTCGCAGTATGTGCGTGTGCTATATTATGCCAAAACATACGCAATGTTTGTAATTTTTATGGCAACAACAACCACAACAACAACAGCAACAAATGCCACTTGCAATACAAAAGACTTAGGCAACGAACTTGCTGCCCAACTAAGCCAACCGAAGCTAATTTTTTAGCTTTTGCTATTGCTATCTCTGGCGCTGCCGGTGCTGCTGCCGCTGCCGCTGCCACTACCGCCATCGTCGCTGGCGCGCAGCCAAATTTCCTTAGCCAATTTTCGCATGTTTACAACAACAACAACAGCAACCACCACATCAAAAGTAACACATAAACAATTTCCTGTTTGTTATGTTTTCGGACGGACACAAGAAAAAGGGAGGAAGCCAAAAAAATATAAATAGCTGAGTCAGACACAGACTAGTCCAATAGTGCACAGTGGTTTCAAATTTATATTAAACTTGAGAAAAAATGCTCCCAGAATATGGAATGCATAAGTGTGATTATCCCGATAGATAGATAAAAAGATATTTTATTATTAATCTCTTTAATCGGACGGCTATATTCTGATGCTAATGCTAAATTTAAAAAAGTCCCTCCAAAAGTTTTCTTTAATAAATAGATACCATTGAGATCTTACTACTGCCAATAAACAAATTGTATTTTAAAAAGCAACTAAGCTAATATCCTAGTAAAATATCAATATGGGAAATATTTTACATTTATAATTACTATTTCTTTTCCTTTTTTTAAGAAAATTGTATGTTAATTTATAACAATTTGTCTGGTGGCATTAGGAAATAATAATAATTAATAAATATTATTATGTTTCGAAAATATTAATAGAAACTCAGCAACGAATTTCTAAAGAATATAATAACAGTATTTTTTCTAGAAACACGACAAATAACGATCCAAGCACATTTAGCCAGAACCTTAAATAGATCTATCAAAAACTTATAAAGATGAAATAGGGTATCACTATCCATGAGTGCAGGTTTAAAAGTTGTAAAGAACAAATAAACATTTTATTGGAATATTGACTATGTAGACTGAAGACATAGAACATGAGCAGTAATCACATCCAGCCAGCAAATAAGGCAGGCAACATTCATACCATCAGAGATAGAAGATACCAGACCAACACTCTCTAATTAGGCCCTT